CAGCATGGCCCTGGTCTACAATCCAAGGTCACGTGGGGACGCATTCAGGAGTAAGTGAAACAGCAGGGCTTTGCAGTCACAAGAGTGGGGAGTGTCCCCCAGTTCCAGGCTGGATGTGGCCAACTTGTTTGAGTCATTCTGAGGGTTGGCAGAGAAGTGAAATTAGGTTGAAGACTCAGAGGAGTGTGGCTGGTCCAGCTGGTAGAGGAACTAGCTGGGTGGAGAGTCCTTCCCTCTGGGCGGGGTTCATACCTGGCAAGAGCAGAGGGGCTTGTGGTTTGGCCTTTGGAGGCGCAGGGAGGCTCAGAGATGTCACAGAAGCACGTGACATTCTAGGCCTTTGTAATCTGTGGAGTAGAGACAACTGAGGGCAGGTCCAGCATCTGGGATTGAGGACAGCAGGAGGAGGAAGGAGAATGGCTGACAGGCTAGAGCCTAGCAGAGGGTGACGAGATTGAGGACCCAAGGGAACCTGGGGCTGGGTGGCTTTGATACCTAATTTTATGCATTGACAGGACTCAGGAGTGCCTAGATCAAACTGTGTTTCTGAGTGTGTCTGTGAGAGTGTTTCCAGATGAGATCAGCGTTTGAACCAGCAGGGTATCATCCCATCCACTGAGGGCCTGAGCAGAACGACAGGCTAAAGAAGGCCCTTTCTTGTCCTCTTATGGTTTGAGTTGGCATCTCCTCTTGAACCCAGAATGGGATTGACACCATCAGTTCCCCTGGTTCTCAGGGCTTCAGACTTGGATTGAATCACACCACCAACTCTCCTGGGTTTCCACCTTGCAGATGGCAGATCATGGGACTTAGCCTCCATAAGTACTGAGCCAATTTCACCCTAATCATCCATCCAAGATGATTTCATCTCAGGATCCCTGCCCCAATTACTTCTGCAAAGACTCATTTTCTAAATAAGTTCATGTTGTCATAGACCTATCTTTTGGGGACCACACTCAACCTTCTTCATCACCCTATATTCCCAATGGGCCTCAGACTCCCACCTAAGCCACAGCCTCTTACCTTATGGAAAACTGAAAACGACTCAAATGCCCGCAGGCGAGTCAATAAAGGAACTATGGAATAGTCACACGATGTGATTCAGAGCTGTCAAAATGCATGAACTACAATGTACAATGTAATTTCCAAAAG